CACCGGCACTTCCTTCTTCCAGAATAGGATTAAACCACCACTTTTTCCATCACTCGCCACCACGTACTTGTGATCCATTTTCAGTCTTCTATGATAGACATTCCGCAGGATACTCATCGAGATGCGTCTCCATGAGAAACATTACGTCAGGACTCCTGCATTTTTGAACATGCAACAGAGCCCTAATCGCCACAGCCTGCTGCAGACCACGACAATTCCAGCTGAGAATCCTCATTGCCTCCGGTCAGCCTCCTTCTTGGAGGCCGCCGGTATCAGGTTGTCTTGGTCCTCACCAGAATCCGATTAGACGGAGAGAGGGACTGCAGAGATCTCGCCGGTGAATCAGCCAGTACCGCAAGAAGGAGAACCGATCGCTGCCAGAACGAGCGCCGGGACAGAAAACTGATCGCTGCAACACGCAGCGTCGGGACAAAAAACCTAGGGTAAATTCCTAGGTAGCTTCAAATCCGATCAACACCACGTACCTAGTGCATATACCCCAGGGGAGCCATACACAACGAGGCAGTGTATGAGGGTTGATGTCGTGGAGCCAAAACATCAGGAGATGAAATGCCGCGTATTTGATTATCTAGAAGCCTAGGCAAAAGAAACCGTCTTGGGTTTTCTCAACGGCGATGCTACCTCTTATTGCATCATTGTCTCCGCGGTGACGATGGTGTCTCATCGGGGGCTCTCCACCGGCTACTTACCCACAAGGATTTACAATCGTCTTCACCGAATGAGGCCTTTTTTGTTTCAGCTTTTGGGGGCATCTTTGGTCTAGGAAAAGCCGGAGCCAAAACAAACAACTACTCCTTTCGTCCGATGAAAATGTACATATAGAAATTTCAGATAAAATAAAAAATGCATTGGAAAGATGCAAGTTATCATCTCTCCTCTTTAATTACCCAACCCTCAATGCGCTAAGTGCATATAGAAATTAAGAAGACCATGCATATAATGTTATTGGTCTTGATTACCATTTAACAAAAGAGAAGCATTTTTTCTAACGTAAGGTGCATTGGGAAGATAGAAGTAGACTCTTTTATGGACAACTTTTAAAGCCAAACATACACTTTTCCCCAGACGGATGGAGTGTTTTAGAGCAGCAGTGGAATCACAACCCAAAAGATGGAGCCTGCCAAGTGTATCTCTAAGAGCATATGCAACCGCGATGGGCAAATCCGGGCCCTCAAACGCCCGTGGACGCGCCCGGGGCGTCCGTGGGGACTGGTCGGGTACTCCTCAAATCATGTCGTCCACATTCGTGTATCTCATATCCAGCATCCTATATCCATACTAAACATGCAACATGGAACTAAACTATGTAGATCATCAATCAGACATAGAAATCCACATTCTGATCACCAAAAGATCACCAACATATCTCCAAAAGATCACCAAGTTCACATAATTCATATAAAACAACAGACAAGTTTAAACTAGACTACTAAAAACTTGAAATTAAAGACGGAGACTTACCACTACGTTCCACACCACCGGGGCGGCTGGCCTTCATGCCTCTGATGTTGGCCCTTCTACATCATCCAGCAAGGCTCGGAAGTCTGAGCTATTTAAGGTGCGGTTGACGGATAAGAGGCCTTCGATATGTTAAGGGAGAGAGGGGAGAGTCATTCCAGAGCTGGGTGGGAATTGTTGATAGAAATTTGGATTTTCCCTGAGGTACGATAGCGTCTGAACAAAGAAAGGGAATATGGGACGGAGCTTCCCCACTTCCTCGCCGGGCCTTTGCCATTCCGGTCGGCCGGGCTGCTGTATGCGTCCGCGGCTGGTGGAGGGTCCTGGTCGTCCGAGGAGGAGGTGCAGCTATCGCGGTCGCCATCGTCGTCGTCAGAGTCGGAGAGGACGATGAGTCCCTTCATCTGACGGACCGCCCTGTCCTGTGTGCAGGCCCGAAGGGTCCAGATCCGGCATCCGCGTTGCGCCGACGCGGGAGCTGCGGCGACGCTCCAGATCCCGAGCTGTCGTCGACATTCACCTTGAACCGCTCCAATGTAATGCAGAGGGCCATCTTCTCCTCGCAGTCGAGCTCGGAGCCGGAGTCGCTGTTGGAGCTGGACACCGGAGTGGATGGGATCGGAATCGGAGAGGGAGAGGACGAAGCGAGGGTGAGTGAGCTAGGGTTCGAAGCGAGGTGCCTGGATTGGGGTTTTTGTGGGACAACTATGGGGTCGGTGGTGGGTCGGGCCCGTCAAGCGGACGCCCCCGGGCCGCCCTATATTTGAGCAGGGTATGAGAGGTACCAGTCAGCCCGGGCGTTTGTCCGCAGTTGGAGAAGTCTGCTTGGGTCATTTTCTTTACGGTCTGCGCGAACGTTTGAGACGGATATGAGAGGTCCGGCTGTAAACACTCTAACTTACTCCCTCGGTTCCAAAAGCAACGCTGATAGCCAGTACTACTTGGCAAAAGATCCCCCGTGTAGTTAGTTAGTTATAAGTTAACAAAAGAGGTAAATACACCAGGAGTCATAAAACTTGCACGCGACGGTCAGTTTAGTGCATAAACTTGTAAAATACGTGTTTCTGGTCATCACACTTGCGTGGACGTGCAAATACGGTCACATTTCCTGTACACGGATGTATTCACTGCCTACATGGCATGCCAGCGTGGCCGGGGCCCATTGTCAGTGGCTGAAGCGTTGTGCATGTGATATTTTTTATAGAAACACCCTCAAGTTCTTTTAAAACTTCGTACAAAAGCCCTCCAACACAAGTAATGTTAAATAGTATCCCGCTGGGTCCTGCATGTCAGTGTGCGTTGTGAATAATTTGGACTAGAAAATAGGTCTGAGGGAGTTCGAACCATCGACTAGCTGTAACAGCGCTAGAGTAATAACCACACCACCGTTGTTGTTTACACGGACTACCAATGTGTAGATCCTTTAGGCTAAATAAAGGTACGCATTTAGAATTATATTTTCTTTTCTAAACATTTTCAAATTTAAATTATTAAAATTCGAACATATTTCCCGCTGATTTGTCTGAAAGGAAATGATGGACATTCATTCTGCACTATATTTTGCTTTTTAGATTTTGTAAATTAAAATTATTAGAATTCAAGCAAAATTTTAGTTGACTTGTCTGGACAATTTACGTACCTTCATTCTGGCCTATATTTTTCAATCTAGTTTTCCAATTTAAAATTATTCAAATTCAAACAAAATTCTGTTGATTTGTTCGAAAGAAATTTATGTACATGCATTATGGACTATATTATCTTTTGTTTGGGTTATTCAAATTCTTAAAAAGGTTGATTTGTCAAAAAAATATGTACATTCATTCTGACCTATATTTTCTTTAATCAAGATTTTTATGTTTAAAGTTATTCGAATTTAAACAGAAATTTCTTTTGATTTGTCCAAAGGAAATTATTTACATTCATTCTAAAGTACAATTTATTTTATCTAGGTTTTTTCATTTAAAAGTATTCGATTTCAAACAAAAAATTAGTTGATTTGCCCGCAAACATACATTCATTCTGCACTATATTTTGTTTTATCTACATTTTCTAATGTATTTTTTTGAATTCTAAGCGCATCTCTAGCAAATCCCTCATATCGCGCCGACCCATAAAATAATCGCCAGTTTACGGTTTTGCGCCAAAAAGTTGTCTGAACAACTGTAAACACACTATAAGGATCCGCATATAAGGGGTCTGCTACAGATACTCTAACGGAAATTGGTTGATTTGTCCGTAAAAAATGCATGCATTCATTCCGGAAAATACTCAAATTCAATAGACAAATCTGGTCAATCTGTCCAAAAAATTTATCTAGAATATAAGTTGTTTTCTTACATAGAAAAAACAAAAGCAAAATACATAAAATAAATTGTGTTTATCTTTTCATGTGTCATTGTGGCCGGATGGTTCGAACCGGGGCTTCCACCTTTTCACGAACCCTTTTCTGGTTTTGATTTCTATTTTAATTAGAACGGTCCTCATATATAAAGCTAATTGTGCACGTTAGACGTCAAACGTCAAACGTCAGTTAGCCGATTGGCGGGCAATATGCATGCGAATTGCAGGTGTGGTCGAATCCCATCCATACTGATCCATCTTTTTTTCCGTTTTATTTCAGACTTTTCTGTGTAAAAAAAATGAAATGCAAGGGTGCTTTCTGGAAAAAAAATGCATGCGGATTACTCACCTCCTCAGCCACTAACAGCGGTCCCATGTAATGTTTTTTTTACACGAGGGCCCATGTAATGTTGGCACACCGTGCATGCATGTAATACGCCCAGCTACGGTAGAAAGCACCGTATTTGCACGCCCACGCAAGTTTGATGACTAAAAACATGTATTTTACAAGTTTATGCATCAAACTGACCGTCACGTGCAAATTTTATGACTGCCCGTGTATTTACCTCTTAACAAAAAGGTTACTCCCATTGGCATCCACCTAGCAGCAGCAGCACAAAGACTAATAATCCACTGTCACTGTCCAATAATCTCTCCCCCTCTAATCATGCGCACTAACCACAAATCAACCATACACAAAGCAAGGCCAAGCAAAGAAAACTAGAAAAACCTTCGATCCCCAATTGCTGCGCGTTGTTGGTGCCGCGGCGGTTTATTTATTCCGAAAGCAGCAGCAGCAGCTTCCTTCGGCCCTCTCGCTCTCTCTGCTCTGGCACAGCACAGCCAACCCGGCGCCTCTTTTCCCCATCCATCCATCCGTCCGTCCGTCCTTCCTGTTCCAACCCCCCGCCCCGAGAAAGAGAAGCAAAAGCTGCCGCTGCCAGTCGAAAAGGCCGCACCGCACCGCAAATTTCGGCGACGGACTCGCGCCGCGCCCGAGCCCGACCCCCACCTCGCTCCGGCGGCCGGGAGGAGGAGCGCACGCGCGGCCCGACCGCGGCGGAAGCGGGAGGAAAATTCCCCGGCCGGCGGGTGCGCGGCGCGGATCTGGCCGGGGCCGGGCGATGGGGAGGGGCTGGGAGTAGGGGAAGGCGCGCGCGGCGATCTCGGGGCGGCCTCCCATGGGTGGCTGCTTCTCGCTCGAGGAGCAGCGGCTCCAGAGCAGGACAGGTTCGTTCGCTCGCCCGCGCTCCGTCCGCTTCAAGTACTACTCGTGCGTTCGCTGTATCCTCCCGCGGTTTGTCCGGTTTGCTTGCTGGGGTAGGCGTACGTTCCTGCGTGTGCGGGCTGGTGTCTGGGCTTTGCCCAATTTCAGTTCAGAAGCGTGGATTTCTGGGTTATCCCTGGTCGGTTTGGGTGCTTAGGTGCTGCTTTGTTGACATGGCAGCCTCGTTTTTTGGGGGTTGCTGTGCTGCGGTCAAGGCTGGATGAGAACTGGCGTGATGCTATCCTCGTGCCTGTGAGCTCCTGTAACGAGTGATGGAGAATGCCGCACTATATTTGGTGCTAAAATTTTGGTTCGCACTGGGTATCCGGCTCCTCTATTTTGTGGATTTTAGACTTGGGCTTGCATGGAAGGCGTGCTATATTGATATGCTGAGGGGGGCTGCCGATGTAGCTGCAGCCTGAGGCGAATATCCATGGGAGTAGTAGTTTGTGGTGGAATACATACCATATTTAGCTCACCTTTTGGTGTGGAAAACTCTACTTTGGCCAACTCTGTTGACGATAGAGCCTGCAAACCGCTGAGGTGAAATTTGAGTACTCTTATAATGCCAGGCGCAGTTTCAGACAGCCTTCAGTATGAGTAGAAAGTCATCTCTCCTAGATAGTCAGGCATAGCGTGAGACATTCCGTGCTGATGTTTGAAAACTTGCATAGGAGTTGCTTTGCCCATAGAAAGGGGGGAATTAGAGAGATGACATATTCTGCCCGTCCTTGGACATGTCCACCAATGCTCCTTTCAAACTGTTCATATGATGGAGGCAATTCCCTGTCAATGTCACAGTTCTTGGCTGCACATTCAGGATCTGCCGAGTGAACTTGGAGATGATATATGGACAACTTTTATCATTGTAGATCTGCTCGTGACATTGGATATTCGATATGGTTGGTCATCAAGTTACTGTTCTCTATTCTTCTACGAATACATTTTCAGTTTCATGGAATTGTACACAAGCTTGCTGCTAAAATAGGACATTCTGGTCAGCATAGCTTATAAAATAATTCAGTGGAACAGGTTCGTGCATTATCTTTGATTCTCTGCTCCCAGCAATCTATGCAGTCCTTGCCCCCTTGATTTCATTGGGATCTCCTTACCTTTTGTTTTCGTGCACGCAAGCTATGCTCATAACTGTACATAATACAATTACAGGCACTTCGGCTGAAGCTGGTGGACCAGATGGGTTGAGGAAGTGCAAATCTGATTCTAAAGCTATTTCAAGTGTTCTTGCTCCTCCGAAAGATGTGGAGGACCTGCAAACAGAAGGATATGGAAATGTCAATATTTTCACATACAACGAACTGCGAGCAGCCACAAAGAACTTTCGGCCTGATCAGATTCTTGGGGAGGGTGGGTTTGGAGTTGTTTACAAAGGCGTCATCGATGAAAATGTTAGAATAGGTTTTCCATCCAGACAGGTTGCTGTGAAAGAACTGAACCCAGAGGGTTTTCAGGGAGACAAGGAATGGTTGGTAAGTCTCCTTGCTTCCTTGCATTTCCTGAACCTTTATATACAGTAAGAAGTCATGTTAATTTCTAGATTATGTGAAATCTTCATGAACCATTGTTAGCTGATTGAATTTTAAGATTCAGTATATTGATCAAAGAAGTTGTTTCTGATCTTCGTCGGAACATAACTCATCTTGTTTATCTTTTAAGAATCAACTTGAACATAGTATCAGCACTAGGTAAAAGAGTGCATCTCTACTTATTAGATTGAAGTAAAGGACATACTGTTGTGGTTGGTCATAGGTGGGTGAATGACTGTAACGCTACACCTTTCATGATTTAATGGGTTTCTATTGGTATCGTGTTTCCAGGCAGAAGTCAACTATCTTGGGCAACTTAGTCATGCAAATCTAGTCGAACTGATTGGCTATTGCTGCGAGGGTTCCCATAGATTACTTGTCTATGAGTACATGGCTTGTGGCAGCCTTGAAAAGCACCTTTTTCGACGTAAGCTCTTACTCTCACCTTCTTGATAACTCCACTCCCGTGGTCTTTAACATTCATTGGTTATGGCAGCATAACCTGCTCCCATTTACCTATGCACTGAATATTGGTTCTGAATAAGATGTTTTAGAATTAGCAACATCAACATTCTCAAACCTTGACTGACAATGAGTGGTACTGCCTGCTTCCAAGTAGCTCTTCAAATTTAGCTACTGCATTTGTCAAGTTTGTCAGGTGACAACTATATAAGTGATCTGAGTTGTTCAGTTGGTTTGTGATAGCATAGTATGATCTACCATCTGCACACACATGGTAACCTGGCTATTAAGATACTATGAATTAAAATTGAAGTGGCAGTTAAACAGCAATTACCATTCACCAAAATGGTAGAAAATGTTTGCCTTGTAGGTTCTGAATCTAGCTTCCTCATTGATTTATATATTCAGCGAACATGTTCAGTTCATCATCATAAAGTAAAGTATGTGAACAATTCAAAGATAATTGGTGTCAGGAAAATATGCTAAGCGGATTGGTACAAATATTTTGTTAACAGCAGTCATACGCATATTTTCTGTTAAAGGGAACATTTCGTTGATTATATCTTACCTGGTTGTAAATAACAGGGGTTTGCCTTAATATGCCATGGTCAACTCGCATGAAGATTGCACTCGGTGCAGCAAGGGGGCTTGAGTATCTCCACGGAGCTGAGAGATCCATCATCTATAGGGATTTCAAGACATCAAACATCTTGCTAGACGCGGTCCGTATTTCACCTTTGATATCATTGTCCAATTCAATCAGTGTGATGCCATTGATATATAAAGCTTTTTTGTGTTCCCAGCTGAGTGTCTTACGGCAAAATATATTTTCTGTTTGCAAGCCATGCAGTAATTATGTTCTTCTGATGTATTTTGCATGTTTAGGAAGATTCGTTAGTGTCAATATCCAGATGTGTAAGTATTAATGCCAAATGAACAGCCAAATGGATCATATGGTTTTACCCTTGTTGCTCCACAATGCTTCTGCAGTTATGCATGACATGGCACCATCATTTAGAAGTAGATGGCGTCTCATTAACTGTATTCTCATTGATATTGTCGAATGCAAGAGACTTCATGACGTGATGTTATGTTTTACTTTTGAAGATAGCGTCTCATTCTCACTCTGTGTTACCCTTACAGGATTATAATGCTAAGCTTTCAGACTTTGGCCTAGCAAGAACTGGACCTAGTGGAGACCAAACTCATGTCTCAACTCGGGTCATGGGAACTTATGGCTATGCAGCTCCTGAATATGTGATGACTGGTGAGCCGATCCTCTCCCAGAAGAAATTTTAGTGAATATTTATGGTTTCCAGAATGAACAAACAGCGCATTTTACCGACAAATTTTCTGTGTGTTAATTCAACCATGTGTGTTGTGACAGGCCATTTGACAGCACGGAGTGATGTTTATGGGTTTGGTGTTGTACTTCTCGAGATGATTATTGGGAGGAGGGCTGTGGACAAGAGCCGGCCGAGCCGTGAGCATAACCTAGTTGAGTGGGCACGCCCCCTCCTTGTCCACAACCGGAAGCTCTTCAGAATCATTGATCCTAGAATGGAAGGCCAATACTCCACCAAGGCTGCCATTGAAGTGGCCAGCCTTTGCTACCGATGCTTGAGCCAGAACCCTAAAGGGCGGCCTACTATGAGCCGGGTTGTTGAAACCTTTGAGGAGGTTCAAAGCATGCCAGAATGCCAGGACATACTCCTGCAGAATTGTATGACCGGATCTGTGACGCTCTACGAGGTCCCAAAGGAACCTGCTGAGCATGTTGAGACAGAGAAGGCGAAGCAAGAACCAACAGCAAAGACTGATGCCGTGGCTGTGGCCGTGGCCGTGCCACCGACGAATGGGAAGCCAGTGCCCCAGAGCAGGAGGACGCGGCCAGCGAACGGCAGGAGCAAGAGCGAGCCGCCTCTGGAGTGCAAGCTGTACATCCCTTCGCCTGACTCCGACGGGCATCAGCTGGGGCTGGAAGCCCTGGCATCACCCCCTTCCAGAAACAGCAGCAGGGATGATCCTCCTCCGGTGGACGAAGATCTGTACAAGATATAAAGTAATAACAGCAGTTTTTGACGAGGCTCAAGCCTACCTGTGTCGTCTCGTGTTGCCATCCATCTTGTTGTCAAGATCGATCAGTCAGTCAGTCAGCTGGTGTTTTTGTTTTTTCTTCTGATGGCGGAACTACCAAAGCTAGGGTTCTTGTTCTTGCGGTTAGCGAATTGTATTTAGAGAGAGGAGCGTCGTGGGAAGCATGTAACGTGAGTTCCATGATGGTGTTCGTGCTGTAAACTCGAAACAGTTCTCTGGGAAAGATCCACACCAAAATGGAAATGGAGAGATTTGTCTTGTCTTGTCGTCGCTTGTTTCTTTTCGAGTTAATTTGCTTACATATACGATTGTTCTCCATTGCAAGCATGAACAGGTCGCACTGGAGATCATGGCCAAGATGGGAAAATCTCGAAGGTTCAGTGACAAGTTATAGAACTAAAACTGTGATTCGGATTCTGGGTTTCTAGTTCCAGTTTAGATCATCCAGACGGGTTTCCGTTTCGATGTCCTAGTTGGATTGGGTTTGTTGAAGTCCTCAAATCAAATTCCAAATATGAATCGAATTAGGCTACAAATACAGTGTTGTTTTTCTGTCCCTTTTTTGTTTGGCTGGCCAAAAGAAATAGTTGCGCCCGGTGTTTTGTTCATCTAACCCTGAACCTGAACTTAACTGAACTTTCTGAAACCCTTCGAGATCTGTGAGTTGCTGACACCA